CATTGATTATAGCGGGATCTTTAAGGCAGATATTGGTATCAAAGAGGGTGATATATTTGCCATGGGAAAATCAGGCAATCCAGATGTTAAGGATAGTTTAAATATGACCATTGGGGTAAATATCATCTCATATTTCAAAAGTTTGGGAAGAAAACTGATCAGGAAGTCAATAATGCTTTGCGCCTTCTTCTTTATTACTTAGGTTAACACTGAGGTCATTGCTGGGGAAGGAATGATTGTGACTGCGGGCGCCATAGACTGTCACGTGCACTTCATATGCCCTCAATTAGCTTATGAAGCAATATCGAGTGGTGAGCTACTTTAATGGAACACTTATGCTGGAAAGTGCTTGTGATACATGTAATGACAGACTTTGATGAGTAGCAAATATTATAATTTGAGCATTCAACCCAAAACCAATTGGCAATGGGTGGAGAGGCCCAAGATCTTTTAAGCTATTAATGCAAGAATCTCCGATGTGAGATATTCTCAACAGTGAAACGCATTCATCAGTGTTGCTAGTGTTGAACATTATTGATGTTAGAACTTAAGAGATGCTTAATCAGTCTATTATGCTCATGCCTCACAGATGCGAATTATGCATAGTATGCACAACATGGTTCTAGCATTTTGCATATGAAATCAAGCAAGCAGTCCTTCTGAAATAATAAACACAATATCCCTTTTTTCTCTGAATATTTTCCTCTATTAACTCAGAGTATGCTACATGATATTTTAAGAATCTGAACGGCATATTTAACTTGCTTGTTGATTTATTTTGCACACTATTTGTCCTCTATTTGTGCTTGATATGTCATGATGAACTTTGTGATATCTGAAGTCCTTGCTGATGAGATAGTGCAAAGTTTTAGATGAACAAGCATTTAAAGAATCCATTTTCCAAAACTTTTTTGAAATATGTAGGTATCACAACCTTAGTAGGAGGTGGAACAGGACCTGCTACTGGGACTCGTGCAACAACTTGTACACCAGCTCCTTCACAAATGAAGTTAATGCTGCAAGCAACTGATGACCTACCTCTAAATTTTGGCTTTACAGGGAAGGTATCCTTTCTTCCCTACCCTTTGCCCACATTCAAGGATCAGCCTGTTACTGTCATTCTACAAAATATGTAGTGATGGCTAAAACTGTTTCCTTTTTTCTTTAATACTCTTGGTTTACTTTAGGGGAACAGTTCGAAACCTGATGGGCTACATGATATAGTAAGGGCTGGGGCAATGGGACTGAAACTGCATGAGGACTGGGGAACTACTCCTGCTGTGATAGACAATTGTTTGACCGTGGGAGATCGATATGACATCCAGGTACTTTAATATTTTTAGTGTAAAGTGTTATAGGCTATTGCCTGTGGGAATGTCTTATGAGTTTCACATCTATTGTGTTCTTGATAGGTTAATATCCATACAGACACCTTGAATGAATCTGGATTTGTGGAAGATACAATTTGTGCATTTAAAGGAAGAACTATCCATACTTACCACAGGTATAAATCATATTCTGAATATAGTTGATAAGTTTGCACCTTCCACTGATTATGAGTATCTTTGGCATGCACACCTGTTTTTGTTACTTTTCCCTTTCCTCTTTCTTCCTTTATTCCTTTTCCATTTTAATTCTCAGTGTTTGTCCTTGGTTTTTTTTGTTTTTTTGGTCAGTGAAGGTGCAGGTGGAGGCCATGCTCCAGATATCATCAAAGTGTGTGGTGTTAAGAATGTCCTGCCCTCATCAACGAACCCCACGCGGCCTTTCACTTCCAATACTATAGATGAGCATCTTGATATGCTGGTATGAGAATATAACGGAAGTATTGATAAGCATGCACTAAAGCTGTTTAGACTCAATGTTTTTCAAATTTCCAATACATACAGATGGTTTGCCATCACCTGGACAAGGACATTCCAGAAGATGTAGCTTTTGCTGAATCAAGAATAAGGGCTGAAACAATTGCTGCAGAAGATATTTTGCATGATATGGGGGCAATTAGCATTATAGCTTCTGATTCACAGGCTATGGGTCGGATTGGAGAGGTTCTTAATTTCTAAACTGAGATGCCTGTCTTCATATGTCTGTTTGTAATGCCTTTGTTGAAATTGTAACCAAAAAAATAAAAGGCCTTTATTGAAATGAACTATATAAGCTTCATCATTGCCACTGTTCTTTACCAATCCATGGATTTTCATATCTTCACTTAAAAGCCTGTGTTTCCAGCGTCTTATTTGTAGTAACCTTTTATCTATTCATTGCACACAGACATATGTAAGGCTTAGATTGTGTAAAAACTTTTCTTTACAGGTGATAAGCAGAACTTGGCAAACTGCTGACAAGATGAAGTCACAAAGAGGGTCGATAGAACCTAGTGGATCTGAAAATGACAACTTTAGGATCAAGCGATACATCGCAAAATACACAATAAATCCAGCAATAGTTAATGGATTTTCTCAATATGTTGGTTCAGTTGAGGTATGCCACTTTTAACAGAAAACCAAAATCATTCACTTCAAGCTTTTTTTGCCATTCATCCATTCTTAACAGAACACTTAATAAGACAAATAAATAGAAGTTAACGAGTTGAGCTGCAACTTTTAATATATTTCTTGTGGATAAAAAATTACATCTTCAGATGTGTATACATCATACATGGTTACTTGCATTTGGTGGATTCCATAAACACTATTATTGCCTCTAAGATAGTGGAATTCTCAGTTTTTCTCATGAACTTCATATATTTCTGTAGGTGGGGAAGTTGGCTGATCTTGTTCTATGGAAGCCATCTTTCTTTGGCGCAAAACCTGAAATGGTGGTCAAGGGTGGTGCTATTGCATGGGCTAATATGGGTGATCCAAACGCAAGCATCCCCACACCTGAACCGGTAAAGTTTATATTTTACAATGATTCTTATGTAAGGATGCATTTTCTTTATCCAGCATTCGTATTTTCTCATGTTACCTATTGATTAGAGATGCAAATTTCAGAATCTTGTCATCCTGCTCAGATCTCAATCTGCCTTGTCATGATAATTTTAAACGTGTGGTGCTGGTGCTCACATGGGCAAACAACCATGCAAAAGCTGACCTGTATATCTTTACATGATTAGAGATTTATATTGAGTAGGGTTGGAAAGAAGCTTAGATTGGATTAGATATTTTTTGCTGGGTGGAGGATAATTTGGGAGATTTTTGTTTTAATTACTTTAAAAAACCTTACGTCTAAGCAGGTGATAGCGAGGCCTATGTTTGGTGCATTTGGCAAGGCTGGTAGTGCTAACTCCATTGCTTTTGTCAGCAAGGCATGAATCTCACTCTCTCTCTCTCTCTCCCTCTCACACACGCACACTTTTTCATATGAGATTCATAAGCAAGACATTTTTTTTTTTTTTGGTTTCCCTGTGCAAGCAGGAAGCTATAGGTAATTGCGTTAAAGACTTGTATGGCCTTGACAAGAGAGTCGCAGCCGTGGGCAACGTTAGGAAACTCAACAAACTGGACATGAAGCTCAATGACGCGCTGCCAAAGATAGAGGTTGATCCGGAGACATACACGGTGACAGCAGATGGCCAGGTTCTTACCTGCAGTCCAGCCACCACAGTACCCCTATCTCGGAACTACTTCATGTTTTAGGCTCCTCCTTCATAGTTCATTCGAACCTCTACCACTTGTATATTAAATTTACAATACAAGTCCAATAAAACTCACATAAACACTGGTCCTTCCACATTGTGTAAAACAGAACCTTCCTGACTTTGACAGATATGTGGATCCTGCATGTGATCTTCTGAGAATCTGAGGGCGTATATTTGGTTGAACCTAAGAAATTAGCAAATCCTATGCAAGTGGGGTACTTGAGTTCTCTGTTTTCTTTCACATGTGAAGTGCTCAAATAAAAATATTTAAAGGGATTTTTGAGCCAAACCCATGCTCTCCCAAACCACATGTGATAATGTGATATTAATGTATGTCATGCACGCAAGTAAATATTGAATATTTTTTTGGGTCTTTTCAAAAATAAAATATGTTATCAAATTAGAAAATGAAAATGTATGTTTTGTCTGGTTATCTTATACGGGGATAAATCCAATATAAAATCTCTCTTCTCGAATTTATAAAATAAACATGTGAACCAGAAGATCATAGGTTGATTATTATTGTTATTTTGTTTACCAAGAAGATCACCACCGCCACAGATTGTGGTCGTTGATAAGCAACATGCTTGTTGTTGTTATTTTTATATTATTAGTATTATTATTAATTTATCATGCACATGACAACTGTGGAATATTAAACTAAACAATGCTGTCAGCTAAGTTCGATTACCTTTTTAATATTAGAAAAAGAAATACCACGAGTTTTATAAACTTTTTTGGATGACATAATGAAATAAAGAGCTCACCAAATCAAATTTAAGACAAAATGAGATATGATTTACTGTGATATCTCATATCCAACCTTCTGAAACCCATATTCTGACACACACAAAAATAGGTAAATTCGTATAATCTAATTTAACATCTAAATCACGAGAAGGGAAATTCAAACCGAATACATAGTGATGAGCACATTTATTCTAACCAAGACTAAATTTATGTCTGCATGGCATAAATTAATTGGCCTAAGAGGATCAAAGCAAGTGGACGGTTAGGTGACAAGTAATAATCAAAGTCCAAGTAAGCATAATTCTAATCAATCCAACTATGCGACACGTGGCAACTTCACGTAGCTTTCCCACTATATTTTTAGAGAAATTTTTGTCATCACATTTTCCATGCTTATTCATTTGGATGATTAGCAAAAGTTAATCCCAGTTTCCCTCTCTCTCCTCCCCACAAGGTGAGAGAGAGAGTAAGCCAGCAACGCCATAATATAATCCCTAACCCTTCTTTATAATTGGAGCTTGACATCACGCGCCATCAACTGAGAGTGTCCATTGTCGTCTTCAACCCCATTTAAAAAGAAAGAAAGTGGAAGACCCATGAAATGAAAGCTCAGAAAGTCCCATTATTTTAGTGAGTGGCCTCTCAAAAAAATCTCAGACAGCCAAGTTCTTCTTTAAAGCAGCAAGATCAACCGCCAGAAAAAGCAGAAACGCTGTCGTTTAGCCGACACTAAGTTTACTTATATATCTTCCTCTCATCACTTTCCCTTTTCAAAAAGTATTGAACTTCATCATCTGTGAGTGAAAAGTTGTTAGAGAGAGAAATGTATGCAGTGAAACAGCCCACCACTGCTTCTCTCAGGTCAAACGTCGCCGTTGACCGGCGGGTTACCGGGTCCGGGAGGTACACCAAAGTCCGAAAGGCCATTGTACTCGGTTCCGGGTCAAGGGTCAATGGGCATGGATCAGTCAGAGCCGTGATCAGTGGTGGAGACAAAGCTGTGGAGGCTTCAACCCCAATGCAGAGCAAAGACGTTACTGGGTCTTTGGTTCCTTCTTCTTCTGGAGGGATCCAAGTGAAGGCAGTGGTGACCATCAGGAAGAAGATGAAGGAGAAGATCACAGAGAAGATTGAGGATCAGTGGGAGTTCTTTGTTAATGGGATTGGACAGGGGATTATGATTCAGCTCATCAGTGATCAAGTTGATCCTGGTTAGTTAGTTTCTTAATTTTACTTATTAAATGGCTTTAACTTTTGTGCTTCTTTGTAGTTCACTTTATATGTTCTTTTCTGGATAGCAATAATTTTGTATGGTTGTGCTTCTTTTTGGTTTTTGGTTTCTGGTTTCATGGGTGGATTAGTGTGCAAGATGTTTGTGCTTTGTGCTTGATTGTCTGTTTCATACTTGCTCTGTTTTGGCATTGTGTTTCCAAATCTGAGGCCCTGTGGTAATTAATCTTTGTTGTTTGTTGTCACAGTTACCAATTCAGGAAAGAGTGTCCAATCTGCTGTGAGAGGGTGGCTGCCGAGGCCATTGCCTTCGGACTATGCACACATTGTTGAATATGCTGCCGACTTCACAGTCCCATCTGACTTTGGGTCTCCTGGAGCAATTCTCATTACCAATCTTCAGGGAAAAGAGTTCTACTTGTTGGAGATTGTCATTCATGGTTTTGATGGAGGCCCCGTTTTCTTCCCTGCAAACACTTGGATCCATTCGCGCAAGGACAATCCTGAAAGTAGAATTATCTTCAAAAATCAAGTACGAAAACCATATGCCCATGTATCTATATCTGATTTCTGCTATTTTCTATCATGTTGCATGAAAGATTTTTGGCTTACATTATCATGTTGTTGTTAATAGGCATATCTGCCTTCACAAACGCCAGCAGGCCTTAAAGATCTTCGGCGTGAAGACTTACTCAGCATCCGGGGTAATGGGAAAGGCAGGAGGAAGGAACATGATAGAATTTATGACTATGATGTTTACAATGAATTGGGAAATCCTGATAAGGATCAAGAACTAGCTAGACCAGTCATTGGTGGAGAGGAGAGGCCTTATCCTAGGCGCTGTAGAACTGGCAGGCCTCCAACAAAGTCAGGTATGATGTTCTTTCTCTATACTAAATAGTACAGTCCAATTTTCCATATTACATTAACTTTATAGCATTGACATCTAATTGCTCTTTTGCATGGCATTCAAACAGATCCTCTTTCGGAGAGTAGAATTGAAAAGCCCCATCCAGTTTACGTGCCTCGGGATGAAACTTTTGAGGAAATTAAGCAAAACACTTTCTCAGCCGGAAGGTTGAAAGCTTTGCTTCACAATCTTCTACCATCTCTGGCTGTTACATTGTCAAGTTCAGACATCCCTTTCAAGGCCTTCTCTGATATAGATGACCTATATAATGATGGTGTCCTCATAAAAGAAGAGGAGCAAAAAGAAGGCAAGAAACTGTTTCTGGGCAGCATGGTGAAAGAGGTTCTCACAGTTGGAGAGAGGTGGTTGAAATACGAAATCCCGGCTGTTATAAAAGGTAAATCCACTTGTTCTCCCTCTATCCTTAAATACTTTCCCCTTGTCTTGTCTTTAATATCATTTCTTTCTCCTGTTGTTTAATTTGTGTGGTCAGGGGATAGATTTGCTTGGTTGCGGGACAATGAGTTTGCACGCCAAACTTTAGCTGGGGTCAATCCAGTGAACATTGAAATTTTGAAGGTAACAAACATACAAACAAATTCTATGGTCAATTATTATGTACTTTTAAATGAAATGCCCGTTTGAAGTCCTTAATTCGGGTTATATTTCACAGGAATTTCCAATTATCAGCAAGCTAGATCCTGCCGTTTACGGTCCTCCAGAGTCTGCTATCACAAAGGAATTGATAGAGCAGGAACTCAATGGGATAAGTGTAGAAAAGGTATTAATGTCTATATGCATTATGAGAAATGTTATGTGAATAAGGGTATTCCTTTCTTTCTATAGTTCTCTAAACCGAACATTTTATCATACCAGGCTATTGAGGATAAGAGACTGTTTATACTTGATTACCATGACATATTTATGCCGTTTATCGAGAAGATGAACTCGTTGCCGGGGAGAAAAGCTTATGCGTCTAGGACAGTTTTCTTCTTTACCCCTACTGGTATTATGAGGCCTATAGCTATTGAGCTTTCACTTCCACCAACAAGTTCATCCCCCCATAGTAAGCATGTTTACACACATGGGCATCATGCTACTACGCATTGGATTTGGAAGCTGGCCAAAGCTCATGTTTGCTCAAATGATGCCGGCATCCATCAACTAGTTAATCACTGGTAAAACACAAACAGATTTGGATCTGCAAAGTTTACATTATGTCACGTTTAAACAATTGTTGACCATGTTAAACTAGGATGTCTTGCGCTTATAATCTGTTGGTAATTTGTGTTTACCTAGGTTGAGGACTCATGCTTGCATGGAGCCTTATATAATTGCGACTCATAGACAGCTTAGCTCAATGCACCCCATTTACAAGCTTCTTCACCCTCACATGCGCTACACTTTAGAGATCAATGCACTTGCACGGCAAAGTTTAATAAATGGAGGGGGAATAATTGAAGCTTCTTTTAGTCCTGGAAAGTATGCCATGGAGGTAAGCTCTGCAGCATACAAGAATATGTGGAGGTTTGACATGGAGGCATTACCAGCCGATCTTATTCGAAGGTAAGGTTTTGATGAGTGTCATAGGGTCAGTGTATCTGTGTCTTTATTTCCAGAATTTATTGCCAGCCTTGGCAAGCAAGCAAATTGACTAAGTGGTTGATACTTGTGTTAACATTTTCAGAGGCATGGCTGTGGAAGATCCTTCAACTCCTAGTGGCATGAGACTTGTAATTGAGGACTATCCATATGCTGCAGATGGCCTCCTCATATGGTCTGCCATAAAAGAATGGGTAGAATCCTATGTGGAACACTACTACTCTGAGCCAAATTCTGTCACGTCCGATGTTGAGCTCCAAGACTGGTGGAGTGAGATCAAGAATAAGGGTCACTACGACAAGCGGAACGAGCCATGGTGGCCTAAACTTAAAACCAAAGAGGACTTATCCAGTATACTTACAACAATGATTTGGGTTGCTTCAGGGCAACATGCAGCCATCAACTTTGGCCAGTACCCGTTTGGTGGTTATGTGCCAAACCGTCCTACCCTTATGAGAAAACTCATTCCACAAGAAGACGACCCTGATTATGAGAATTTTATTTCTAACCCACAGAGAACTTTCCTGTCTTCCTTGGCAACTAAACTTCAAGCCACCAAGGTAATGGCTGTACAAGATACTCTCTCAACTCACTCCCCAGATGAAGAGTACTTGGGTCAGGTGAACCCTCTGCACTCCCATTGGATCAGTGATCAGGAAATTTTGAAATCGTTCAATAGGTTCTCTGATAGGCTAAAGGAGATAGAGAAGATCATTGAGAAAAAGAACAGAGATAGCCATCTTAAAAATAGGAGTGGGGCAGGCATTCCGCCATACGAGTTGCTGCTTCCCTCATCAGGCCCTGGGGTAACTGGCCGCGGAATCCCCAACAGTATTTCTATTTGATGGCTGTAGCTGGTTCAATGCTTTGGTCGGTATTAGCATCTTGTAAACATTCAAAATATTGTGCAGTCTTAGGGTTTTTTTTGGTCGGAGTGCAGTCGTAGTTTGTTTATCAAACAAGTAGTAAAAGATCTGTGATCAATGATAAAGCTGCAGTCTTTATTATAGAGAGAGCATCCTGCCTTGTCTTAGTGTTTACAAATGAAACGGGTTAATGGGTCTGATGCGGGTTGACATGACCCGTTTAATAAACGGGTTAGACAGGTATTATAGCGGGTTGATTCGAAATTCAGTCGTTTAATACACGGGTTTTAACGAGTTGATCCGAAATTGACCTGTTTTTTATCTTGAGAATTTCGAGTCGTATATCGGGTCGTGTTCGAAATTGTCATCCCTACTTGTCATAGCCAACAATGAAAACAGAAAACTACCAAATAAAATGAAAATTTTGAGAAACTATGAAGCTTCTTTATTAGGCTAATATAATCTGTTGCTACGGCACTGAATAATAAATAGGCACGTATGCGCACGTACCTTGGAAATAATGAACAATCTTTGCTCGGTGCTGCAGCAATCATATTAACATTCTAGAGTCTACAAATCAAAATGTAACACCAGAAGAAAAGAAACTGGACTTTACAGCTTGGATAATGAAAGTTTGATTAATTCCTTCCTCATCACTTTACCCTGTGCACTCTTTGGTATTGAATTGATGAATGCGACTCGTCGTATTTTCTTATAAGGTGCAACCTAAAATTGACATAGAAGATTTTAGTAGCCTTAACAATTTCATGCAAAATTGTGTGATCAAGATTGGTGAAATCATCCTTGTACAGTATGATCAGGTCATGAGAATATCTGAATCACCTGTTTGGCAATAAAATCCTTGACCTGCGATTTGTCAACGAAACTTCCAGAGCTCCTCACCACAAAGGCCATGGGTACTTGACCTGCTTCTTCATCAGGGTACCTGCTAGCAACAGAAATATGGTTTTACAAAGAAGCTCAAACAGCTGCCACGCCACATTCAAACGATACTAAACAGATTGACAGTATGAGACAGGAGAAATTACGTACGGAATCACAGCTGCATCAACAATATCTGGATGGGATTGAAGCAGATGCTCCAACTCTGCCGGGGCAACCTAATGCGGATACATAAGCAACACACCCTCAGCATTTCATAAATAACTCCATTGAAGCAAAGCAGAAAACATGTTTAGTTTTAGTTTAGTAGGTGGATTTGCAAGGTTTAAAGCAGACAAACCTGGTAGGCTTTGTACTTGATCAATTCCTTTATCCTATCAACAAAAAATAGATAACCATCGTTATCAATATAACAAAGGTCTCCAGTTTTTAACCATCCTTCCGAGTCCAAAGCTGCGGCAGTTGCTTCTTCATCACCAACGTAACCTACAATAATTTAATTAATTAAAAGATTAAAATATAATCATTATTAAAAATGAAAAAAAAAACTCCATCAGCAAATCAACATTACTATAAGGGGCTCGTAGCTCAAGTAATTTAGAGCAGATACTGTGTTCAAATCCTTCACCCTCAATATCTCTTGTGTAAAAACCAACATTACCTTTCATAACGCATGGTCCTCTAACCCAAATCTCCCCTTGCATCAGAGGAGGCAACCCAATGCCAGTCTCAGAATCGGCCTCAACAATCTTGACCTCAATATTTGGCATCAGCTTTCCGTTAGCTCCTTCCACTCGAGTGTCTTCCGGGCCCACTGCCCCAAATACTCGGGCCCCTGTCTCCGTTAGCCCATATCCCTGCACAACCACAGCCCACCACAAGGCCCCCAACCAAACGACAGCATATTCAATGTCGTTAAAATCTTCAAGCTCTTTCAACATATTGAATAGTAAACATGCAATATCTTTACACTGACCTGTGCTACTTGTATGTTCGGGAGCCGCTTCTTCAACTTGTCGATGACACTCTTCGCAAGCGGAGCACCGCCGCAGGCGATCACTTGCAGCGAGCTCAAATCGTAGCCGCCAGTCTCATTCCCATCTCCGTGCTTTACCACGGCAACAGCCACCGGCGGGGCCCAGGCCACGTGGGTGATTCTGAACCGCTCGATGGCTCTCATCATCGCAACCAAATCAAACCTCCCCGATATCGACGCCAGCGTGTCCCCCATAGCCAAAACCCTCAGGCAGAACGCGATCCCGTACGAGTGGAAAAACGGCACCGTACAGAGAGCCACAGCGGCTTGTGGAGAAGCCGCGGCGGCGCTTCGAACCGCGTAGACGCTGGCCAACGTTGATATCCAGTTCCGGTGAGTCAACGCCACGCCTTTGACCCTCCCGGTCGTCCCCGACGAGTAGAGAATCGTCGCGGTGTCCGATTGGCTCACTTGAACTCGGCGCGGCTCGGCGGCGGCGGGAGACGTCATCATGGACTCGAACTCGGTGGAGTCGAGGAGAACAGTCCCGAGACGGAGCGAATGGATTTTATGAGCGGTGGCGGAGGTAGCGAAGGCAACGGCGGGTTTGCAGATGTGGATTTGGCGAGAGAGGTCGGGAATGGAGCTGGCGGGGTTGGAAGGAGAGACGATGACGCCGAGGGAGAAGAGAGAGAGGTAGAGGACGGGGACGTGGAGAGAGTTGGGGGAGAGAATGAAGGCGCAATCTCCATGAGAGAGGCCGAGTTGGGATTGGAGAGAGAAGGCTAGGGATTGGACTCGGCGAGTGAACTCGGGGTAGAGAACTCGGAGGCCGGTGGCTGCGTCGAGGAGGGCGGGAGTGGAAGGCGGGGGAGGAGAGTGTTGGAGATTGGAGAGAAAGTAGTGGGTGACGGAGAGGGGTGTGTTTTGGGGAGGGAGGGGGGCTTTGGGCCTGAGGCTGTGGAAGATCTTGGTGGTTGAGCAAAACCCGCTCTTTGGATCAATAACGGCGCTGCTGCTATTGCTAATGATAGTCTGCTGATCCGCCTTATTCGCCATTGGAGTATGAGTTTGAGAATTCGAATTGGAAATTGAGGTATCCAAATTAGGTTTGGACACTTCCAGTTCTCCATTCATTGAAATACTTTGCATTTGTCCAATGCGTCATTTTCCTATCCATTTCTAATGCTATTTAGACACACTACTTGTGCAGAAGACCACTATTAAGTTTTTAAAACTTGTTATGCGTGTGCAGGTCGGATTTCTCGTCCTCATCAGAGCTCCATATGTAAACGACAAAAATGATATTGATTACTTATTTTGACCTTTTATTTTCTTCTTTCTCTTTTGATAGGGATTTGAGCTTTACAAAGTCCCCCCTTAGAATTTCTAAAGTTGCATTTTTGGACTTGCCAAATAAGATACTTTGTTCATATGTTGAGGGGTTAAAATGAGGGGGTTTAATCCAACAGTCCAATAATAACTATGCACAAAATCGGACAACTATTAATGACTCCCTCATTATAATCCCTTGTTATAACTCCTCGTTATAGCCTAATGATAAATCCTATGAAAGCCCAAGTCCCTCATCCAAACATGCCCTTAATGAAATTGGTTTTCAAGGGAGAGGGATTTTATTATATGCTCTTGTTATACATATATCGTTTGTTACACATGACTATCTTGGCATAGATTATGCAGGGACTGTCTTGACTTGGCTTGGTTTGGTTTAAGTTGGATAACACTTATCCTACGTTTGGTGTATGCTTGGACTAAGACTAGATTTATATTTTTTTTTCATATATATTATATTATATATATATATATATATGGGGGCGGATCCGTGGCACCATATTTTTGACACAAGTTTTGACACAATTTTTGGGCCATTAGATTACTCTACTTTTAATGGTTGAGATTAAACCTAATATGACAAAATAATATTTTTCTCTTTAATTAATATTTATACTTTGAGATTAAAATTCTGATATTAATTAAGAATTCATTCTCTCTCATCTCATTAATTATCTTTAATTCATTCATTCTCTTTCTTTCTTGGTAATCTATCTTCTTTCTCACGCACACCTCTCTCTCTCTCTCTCTCTCTCTCTCTCTCTCTCTACATAGATGATTTAGAAGATATGTTGAATGAAGCTATGCACAATCAGCTAAATTGGAGGTGGCCAGGAAACGGCTGATGGTTGGACAATGACAAAAAGGAAAAAACCCCCACACAGAACCTGATCAAATGGAACCCCCACACAGGAAAAAACCCCCACACAATGACGAAAAGGAAAAAACCCCCACTGAGAATGTAAATGAAACCACGCTTACATTCACACCAAATTACAGTCTCTTTGAACAAACATTCATCTTCTTGGGTATTGGAGAGTGGTTTTTATTAAAATTCCAAATAAAAAAAATACAAGGGCTTTTCAAAAGAGTTGAGACTCAAAAGAAGTATATACAGGCAACTAGTATGACTTATACAACATCATGCCCTCAAGGAAAGGCATCTTTTATTCATACAACACTATTCCTATCAGTTTCCCTTAATCCGTCAGTCCAGCCACCCTCCAAACTACATAGCCACGGCCATTCACAATGCCACTGAGAAATAACAGGGAAGCAGAACAACACTGCACATTCGGACTTCGGACACAGAAAACAAGCAAAGCTCATGATTTTTACAGAATTAGGAAAACGTGAGCTTAGAATTGTCTTTCAGAGTACCAATAACACCACAACCACCACAAGAACTGAAGCACAGGAATAGAAACACAACGTAAAAAATTGAGAATTTAACAATAGGTTTCCCAGATACTAAATGACAGTTGTAGATGCATAAAAAAGGTTGTTAATTAGTAAGACCAATTATATGTGAAATGCGGTTGACTAGTGTAATGATATATCACTCAGAAATAAGATATTTCAGAGGGTTGGTGGAAAATCTTCGAGGGCAAAGAGTGCCTCAGCACCTCAGGAAGCATGTCAAGAAAATCAGTTTCAGACATAGAAGAATAGACAGGGCCGGGTGGGGTGGGCTAGCGATTGACGGGGTCAAAGAGAGAGCGGCTGTGCTGGGGATAAATCTGGGTTATACGATGGCTTTGTAGGTGTTGACTGGCCCTAGGTGTGCGATAGAGTTGCCGGAGAGGAAGGGGAGAGAGAGAGTCCCTGGGATTTCTGGTTTAGGTAGGATAGGGGTTGGAGTGGTGGTGGTGAGGGTGGCTTTGGGGATGAGAAGGGGACGGGAGAGTGAGAAAGAAGAAGCAAAGGAAGAGGAGGCGTCAATTCTCCATAGAAGAAAGAGAGAGAATGAATGAATTAAAGATAATTAATGAGATGAGAGAGAATGAATTTTTAATTAATATCAGAATTTTAATCTCAATGTATAAATATTAATTAAAGAATAATACATTAAAGA